CCCAGGAGGTACCGTATTAGTTGATGAGTCTTTGATTGCTTGTGAGGAAATCTCATTTCCCTTATCTGTCCTAAATACCTTAATTTCTGCATCTGAAAACTCCTTCAACATCGAATCAATGAGTTTCATAGCTGTGTCATAAAGTTCACCTTGATTTTGGTCACCACTTGCATCTGGAGTTCTATCACACGTTTCTGCTTCTGGTGAAGATGTAAATATTAGTTTGTTCACCATTTCAATGATCACATCTTCTAGAAACTTAGCAGAAATAATTCTAGGTTTATTATCTGATGAGGACTGTGGATGGTCTGTCTTACTAGGCTGACTTTTAATCTCTTTCTCTCTTTTTATCTCACTCTCTTCTTTTCCTTTAGTTTCAACTTCTTCACTTGCTTTTTCTTTAGCAGTGATGTCTTTATTAACTGTTGGGGATGAATCCTTTGTTGTAACAGGCTGTGCAGAATCTTGAAGTTTAACTGAAGCTTTATCACTCTGGAGGCTTTTGCTGTATATTGGTCTAGAAAAATCCAATGGCTCTTGAGAAGATATTGTTAAAACGTTGTCATAAATATTTTCAATGACATTTTCAACACGTTCAGTTTCTGTGTATAGTTCCTCATCTATATCTGTTTCAGCTACAGACTGTGTCCTCTCTTCCTTGACTGGCGGTTGGGCTATTTTTAAAGTTTTTTTTGTTATGTTCTCTTTACTCTCACTCTTGGGCTTCTCATCTATTTTCACTAAAGTTTGACTAGCACTGTCAATTTTCTTTTCATTGTCTGTTACGAAATCTGATTCAAGTACCTCCTTCTCAGAACTGTTATTAACAGTAGCAACTGCAAAATGGGTGTATATTTCAATCATCTGTCCCTGCTCATTGATTAGAACTAAGTTCTCTTTCCCAGTTTCATTACTTTTACATTTGTCCCTCAAATGTTCAACCTGAGGATCTTTTCTTTTCACACTGGTAGCTGGAGAAGTAGCCTTTGAGGCACTCTCATATTTTAGGGTGGCAGATTTTAGTTTGTTTTCATCATCTTTCTTAGTATCTGTGACACCTGTAGTTGTTCCTGACATCAGGTTGATAATATTGCTTTTCATGAAGGTAGCTATAGAGTTAATTATTGGACGATGGATATCATCTTTTTTCACTGATGTGTCTTCAGACAGAGCAAGCTGGCTCTGCTTTAAGAGTCTACTAGTCTGCATGGAGGTTTGCTGTGGTAGGAGCTGAACTCTTTGGGTGATATTTTCTGCATCTAGAAATGAAAAGAAAGTTGAGCACCAGTCTCCTGAAAATAGTGGCTGAATTTTGAATGCAGAGATTGCTTTCTGGGCTAAAGAAGAAACCATTTCTATAACAATGTTACCAGTGTCATCTTTCTGAATACCATCAGATCCAAATTTTCCTATGAACTGATCATATACAAAATTAGATATCTCATCAACTGTCTCCTTCCCAATTGGTGGTAAAGAAAATATTTCTTCAGCATGTGGTAAAACTTTGATTTTACTTTTCCTAAA